AAACGCTGATTATATTTACCGCCCACATTTTCTGCTTCGTCCAAGTAAAGGTGGGTTAATACTAGCCAGCAATGGCGACACAGGCGAGTTTAGTTCTTCTTTTTTTCCTTTTGCGTGGGTTGAGTTTTGGCCAAATAAAACGAGTAAATCTCGGTCGCCCGACGGTAAATCATTGTCCATGTTTGTTATTTATTTAAAGGACGTAACATTAACCTCAGTTATTTCCGGGAATAAATGAGGTTTTAAATAATTTTTAATTAATTCATTTGGTTAATTCTCAAATTTAATCACCTTTAATTTCACGGGCGTTTCCACTTCAGCTTCAGATTCAGATAATTTTAGATTCAGATTAAGTTTTGTGAAGGTCAAATCCTCAAAACGCTTGCAATGCCGATTTATTTGAAATGATTCCGCTATTTCTAATTTTCAACATGGCGGTCGAAACTGTATATCTAACGCTGGTGGCGCAAGACAGCGAACCGTGAGTTCCATGGTACACGTCTTTCGGATAAATGAACGATTGAGCGTTGCATCTCTTATTTATAAATGCCGGAGTCCCACAAGGAACCAAAGTTGGCCCTATTTTATTTTTAGTTATGATCAATGATGTAAGACCCACAGGTGATAATCTTGCCGTGTTCAAATATGTTGATGATTTATCGATTGTTGAGTGTAGACCATCTTGGCAGAAATCTTGCTTGCAGGACGCTATTGACAGCCTTACTAATTGGTCGATGCAAAACAGCATGAAATTAAACCCTAGTAAGTGCTTTCAGATGAATGTTGACTTCTCTAGAAACAGTCCTGTAATGCCTATTGTTTCTTTTGATGACCATGATCTCTGTACTACAGCACATATCAATCTTAAGGTTTTGGGGGTTATTATTCAAAGTGATCTTAAATGGGATAAAAATGTGGACAGCATTGTCAAACGTGCGAATAGTAAAATCCATATGTTAAGGGTTCTCAGAAGTTACGGTCTGTCTCATAGTGATCTCATAACTCTGTATAAAAGTTTCATGACGCCATTGATGGAATATGCAGCTCCTGTGTGGAACGGAGCTTACCCAGCGCCAGGTGACTCGGCTTGAAAGAGTACAGAATCGTGCCTTGAAGATTATTCTTGGGGTAGAGTATTTGTCGAATCAAATATCATTATCCTTTTTCAAGAAAACCCTTGACCACACTGACCTTTTTCGTAAATTCTTTCCGCCTCAACATACAAGAATGTTGCGGAATAAACCATTTATCCCTGAAATCCGTAGCCGAACAAAACGTTATTTCACCAGTGTGCTTCCTACCTTAATCCGGCTGCATAACAGACATGGGAAGGAATGCCCCTCTAAAAGGTTCTCTTGGTAGAAATATTTGGATTGTGCTCCTCTTAAGAAATGCCCTCTATTAAATGGGTTTTTTTATATGGGAGTGAAATTTTAAAGGTTGGATGTGACTGAAATTTTTAAGATCACAATAATTTTATCTTTGAAGTGTAAATTGCAACGGATGTTTTTTAGTAGTGTTCTTATATGCGTGTTGGTCATTAGTTATGTCATATGTTTTATTTTTTGTGAGTGTAAACTGTAATGGTAAATGTTGAATATTTTTTGTAATTATTAAATTATAATTTTTTTAATTCTTATTTTAATTGCTTAATCTTTTTATTATTTGATTGTTAAATCCATTGTAATTCAGTTTTTTAACTGCGAAAATGGATTTTTTAATAAACCAATATGAAATGAAAATGAAATGAAATGGAATAAATGTCTCGATATTTGACGGAGTGATGGGCCTTTTCGATGGTCAATAATGAGGCGTAAAAATCTATTTTAACGTACTAGCGATGTTTGTTTGTATATGGCGGTTTAACGACGTATGCTACCCTGTTTAAATCGTCTATATCGCGACTGGGTTTGTAAGCGTTTATCGTGCGTGACGGTGTAATAGACCTGGTAGTAGCATGTTTTCCAATAAACTCGTTCGCCGCAAAATTTATATCGTCGAGTACACGCATCATTCGCCTTTGTAGTTGATAGCAAATTTGGCGACCTACAACGTTATCGGCAGTTTTATCTCGCTAGCCAAATTTATAGACGGGATATATGCCGTAACAGGTCGTGTCTAGCATCATAATTAGCAGGCGTTTTTCTCGGCCTTCGTGAGTATAATAAATGGGTGAGCAGCACTGCTTTACGTGACTGCTTTCTTTAATCACGGGATTTGCAATAATTTACTTGCGTCAAAAGGACCGTATGTTACGTTGGGATCGCTATTGATGGCATTGAGACGCTCGTGGTCGTCAGTTACGATGTAAATTGGCGTTGACACGGTTCTGATTTTTAGCTTGGCCAGAAATTTTTCTCATTTTTTCTCAGACTAATCGGCCGCGTCTATTACTCCGGTGGCGGAATCTCTACTTGAATTAAATCCTCGACGTCGTATTCAATTATTAACCCAATTTCAAATAAACCAGAGTCGAGTTTAGACGCGGGGTTAGGCGGCGGTTCGTCCTTTTGCGCGTGCCTCATCTTTTTGTGCTTGTCGTCAACAAATGCAACGTGATCCACACCTGCCAATTCAATGCAATTTACGCAGCAGCGGTACAACCAAAACATTCTATGCAATTGCTGCAGTCAAAACAGGCTTCGCAACTGTTCAAAGCGTTTGAATATTCGCAGTCGTGGGAATCGTGACAAAATACGCAATGCGTACATTTGCCGCATTCGTCACAAGTCGAGCACTGAGTACATTTTGTGCAGTTGTTACATTTGTGACAGTCTTGAGATTCTTTACAATCGGTGCATTCAAATAATTTTTTAGAATTTAAACAGTGCGTGCAATCGACCGAATCTACCAAGTTAATTGAATTGATTGTGTCTTTGCAAAAGTGGCAATTTATGTTTGTTTTTTGGTTTATCATATCTTTTTTACATTTGTCTGATTTTTATTAACTAATTAAATATTTTTTCATTTTTAAGCGGCGAGTAAATAATCGGGAATTGATATTTCCTTTGGTTTATAAACTTGTTTTGCGTCTTTGGTCGTTCTCACTAAACAGACGCGATGCCTTTGATTTTGCATGTCCAGCTTTGCCTGCTCGATTAAATCGCCTTTCGTTCCGAAACCGTTGTCAATTAGCCATGCCGTGTGATCGGTGATTAATATTAGCGTATTCAAAATAAGTGGCAAAAGTTGTGGGCATTTGACTTTAGAGAAATGTCGAGAATTTTTTTAGGTTTTTCTCAAAGCTTCGGGGGAGGGCTAGTTTTTTCCGGGGAGTGGAAAAGTCGCCGGGGGAATTCCCGAGTTGCTAGGTTTGGAGGTTACGAGGTCTGCTTTGGGAAGTCATGAGTGAAAAAGGAAAGTCCCTCCTGTTCTAGAGAGGGTACGTCCCTTCTGCGCTGGAACTGTCCTACTCCTACTACTGGCTATCTTATGTTTTAATTTTGTGCCTGTGCTGTCTAAGGTTGGATTTGGTCGGGAAGAGTGTATTGAGATATTCAGTTTCGCTTATTAAGGCTGCAAGATTGGGCCTACTTCAAGATTCAGACAACTTTGGGAAATCAATCATGATTTCGTCGCTGGTTCCACAAACCAATTACCGATTTTCTTTCGGTATACTTTGATAAAATATGCTAATTGTTCTATTTTGCACAAATGGCATGGAGGAAGTATCACCCGGACAGTCTACAGATGTTGAATACATTTGACTTCCTAATGTAATTAAAATCTAACCGTAATAGCAGGAAAACAGCTGTTGATACACACAGTTCGTTTCCAGAATAATTATTTAAAAATTAGCACTGACCTTTGGATCTAAGTTTATAAAATTAAGGTAGCATGGATTGCTTTTCATACTTTTGTGTCTGCGTGCTTTGTACATCATATATAAGGACGAAAAATGGATTGGATCGTTTTCTGCCAGGAAATCTGTAGTCTTTCGCATTTTGAATGAGCCAGTTTAGTATTACAGTAGACAAATAATATATATTAGATGCAAATGTGGGGGGCACCCGGTACTCACTAATTATAAACATGCTTCAGCTTGACACGCGCGTGCGGAACGGTTTGGGAAATCACAACACCCTAATGGTCCAAAAGGCCCGAATATCACCTGTCTACGAGCGTATAATGGATGCTAATTGATGTGGTTGTCGAATTACTTGGGCCGGTTTCCAAAATACTCAACTTCGTCTCCGTCTCAGGGGGCGTCTCTGAAACCAATCGCCGATTGTGGGCCTGAAGGGTTAACATTAAATTGAAGTATTGTAATGCTTGGTTCTTTTGCATCCTACTTGATGTTTTGTGGCACCGTCAGGCTTACTACTGCGTTTACAACTTCAAAGCCAGGTAGTAAAAAACAGTTGAACCTTGCCACGGAGCCGAAGTCGAGTATTGGAAGACAGTCACAGCGTATGCCCAAACTGAGGCGCGTCCCTATGATCATCACGGCATGTTAGCATGTATTTGTCGATGGGTATAGCTGCAGGTAAACAACTTAACAGCCCTTTACTGAACTCGGTCAGGTTCCCACAAAAAAACAACCCAATCATTTGTGAAAGTTCGCATCGCTCGATTTGGTTTCTCACTGCTGCAAGCTTGTTAAGTTAAAAATACCCCCGTACTGATGATTACTATAATTATTTATTGTTATGGCTGTTTTTCGTTGCAACTGTTGTCATTACGTAAAGTTACGTCAAAAACCAAATCCAGTAGGCCTATTGTTCACTCTGGTTATGTTTCGCCAACCTGCAGAGTTGCTGCCTGAAGGGGCGTTCATCGCAGTAGTGTATCTACTTTGGTTGAAAAATGCGACACCGGTTGAAAAATGCGACGCCCAACCAAAAATGCGACCGGGCGGCACATAAAATTATCATGGAACACCATAAAAACGAGTTAGCAAAATGCATCGTCGCACACGCGTGCATCTTACATGCCTGCGTCGCTCAGTGACCGTGCGTCCGATTAATGGCCGACCATTGCTTATCGGCTCGGCCATTTTTAGAAGCGGGCGGAGTGGAAGCTTGTTTTCATTGTGAGTCTTGGTGTGCGGGCGCTGTACGCTGCGGTGTTAAATTGAGACGAGAAAGGGTATTTGATGGTAACACAATTTTTTATACATGAAGGCAGACTTAGAACTTGTATGTTTACAGCAGTACATGAAGGTTGCTCGTCCCCGCTCCAGAAATTGGTTGAGCCACCAATGCGCCGTGTACCAACTTCGTTCTCAAGGGTACGATGTTGCCGCACCATGTTAGTTTATGCCTTGCGCCATCTCAGCGAAAGATGGGAACTTGGGGGGGTGGGCTTTCAACCCTACGCACGCGCACTGTGAGGTGCACCCGCAATTTGCGATGTGTTTGCACTGTTTTCGTCAGACATGTCAGAAGAATTTTTGAGAGGGTGGTAAGTAAAGCTCCGATTTTTTCCCAAGAAATAGTCAACTGCATGGTCTTAAGACCGTAGGTCATAAGAATTAAAGAGATATGCATCAGTTTCAATGGCTTTTGGGGGTGATTGATAAAATAGACTTTTTAAAAACGTATATGTTCTGTAGGCTATCATACATGACCCATGACATAACAAGATAGGTAAAAGTTGGCGGTCAAAGGACACAGAGCATGGAGGTAGGAAAACACCTCCATGATGATATGAACTGAGTGACGTGTACTCTCATGACTGTGAGGTTTAACACGACATGGGTAAAACTCTTCACTTTGGTTTTGTTTTGTGTTTTATCAATATCAATTTACTGCTGCGTTAATTTATTTTCAGCAAGCGGTAAAACTACCGAAAACGAGCACAGTATGTCTTTTCTGTACTTTGCCTATGGCAGCAATCTCCTGCGGGAAAGGATCCACATCAGTAACCCGTCAGCAGTTTTCGTCGCAGCTGCCAAATTAAATGTAAGCTAGGCCCTGGTAGGGAAGCCTGTGTCATGTACATGTAACGTGTAGTGGTGTTGCTGTTTATGTTGAGGTATATTTCACTACATCTAAAGGCATGTAAGGCCTATCATCATGGAGCTATAAATAGGAATGGCTCACTGGGGGATATTTTGCAGGGGGAGAGGGGGATGGATACTCCCAGAACTGTGGTGGACGTCTGAAGTCTAGCACGGTACCTGGATGTCAAAGCCCATCAATTCTGGGTGTACAGGTGCACAGAGGAAGAAACAGACAGGTGCATGTGGGGACCCTCATTTGGGGGGGGGAGGGGTGGAGGAGGGGGCACTCAGTGGATTAGATCACTGCGTGGTCATAGTCATGGCAGACAGTCAAAACAATGGAAAGAATGTTGCCTCCTGCCTCCACTTTTCATTCTCTTCTATATTACAATGTGGTAATGATGAGAAATAGATCAGATTTTTTTTCAAAACAAATTTGATCAAATCAAATCAGATTTTCGTAAAAAATACTTTTAAAATGCACTTAACGCTCTATAGACATGTCATACACAGCCAACGAAACGCCGATGCTGCAGTCTGGCTAAACAATGACCATGCAGATTGACTGTCACCACGTTTATTTTTCCTCCTCTAATTTTAAGGGAGAGGGATGTGTATACTTTGGGGCACAGGCCTTGAGTAGAGGGAGGTCCTAGTATGGGGCCAATGCCAGCAAAATCTAGGTTTTGTTTGTGATGAGATACCACATTTTGGACGAATTCGTAGTTCTGTCAGATTTGGACAGCAGAAGCTTGGAGAGGGTTGGAAAAATTCCATAGAAACTTGCTGGTTGTTGTTTAGCCAGCCCAACTACAGTGCTGTAGTTCAGGGCAATGGATTGTCCCAACTGTTGTTGGAATTGATGCCATACATGTAGGTTGGGCATAACAAGCCTATCGGTAACAGAATTCCACGCAGTATAAATATCAAATACTGTGGTTTCCTGCACGGGACTGTTTACACCGAGTGTCATAGGGCCATAACTGATGTTCAGAATTTGGTTTGATTGTTGTCATGAATTTACAGTATGATCAGGAATTTATCAAATGATTGAAGTCATGGAGTTATCCTCTTTCATTTTTTTTTCTGTTTATGGCAGAATTACAGGTTGGGGTTCTGCATCAAACCGGAATGGAAGGAAAACTTAACACGGTGGAGAGGTGGGGCAGGGACCATTGTCAAATCAGAGGGGGACTCTGTGTGGGGCGTGGTCTGGAAACTTGACTCCACAGACCTGGAGAGTCTTGATAAGTGAGTACGACACTTTAACCTGGGAAATCCCAGCTCTGTTGTTTAGGGCATGAGAGCTAGCATTTCCCAGGTTCTTAACATGCTTAAGTTGGGCATCGTCTTTTTGCCAAGACATAATTTATGGGAGGGACTTCTTAAGAGTCAATTGGCATAGGGGTACTTTTCTTGCCTTCCGCCTCTTGTGTCTGGGATTTGAATCCCACCCAGGCAGACACGTAATTTGGTGTTTTCAGCCCCCACCTGATTCTGTGCATCCCCCAACGTACCAGGGTTTTCTGTCCAGCTGTTAAACTGACCAGTTCTGAACTACATGTACCTTCCCACCCAGGCCCCCTGGGGAGACCAGTTCATTGGTAACTGACAGGGCTACCCTGGCTTAATACACTTTTGAAAATTTGAATGAGTGAGATAAAGCCTAAACCTGTGAAATCCTTCAAAATCCATCTAAAGGAAGGAAGACCCACATAACCCAGTCACTATTACATTACATGAACCTTGTCCCTTGAAAGATTAACCCTAACCCTGGCAACTGGGAACATTCTTAATCCTTCAAAACCTCAGATTATCAACGTAAAATGCATTCAGCTTCAATCCTCCAAAACCACCCCAGAGGATTTTGGAGGATTGGGGATGGTTAGGGTTAAAACCTAGGCCCAATTTCACGGTGCTGCTTACCGTAAACAAAAAATTGGCGCTTACGGTAGCAGAAACGTCTTTGCGTATGCAATCCTAATTCACAGCCGAAAAAAAGTCTTGTTACTGTGAGCGGGAAATAATTGTTTTTTGTCATAGCACATGTGTATTTTGCAATCGTCTGCTGAAAGATGTTTGCCGTATGCTGTGCGGGATAATGGCGGCTGAAAGTGTCGAACCGAAGAAAAGATTTTCCTCGCTTATTAGTGCAATGGACATTGCTCTCTCAACCCCTTACAGTGAAGAGCGACAAACTATTGAGGGCCCTTTAATTTGAACAAAATTAACAAAGAGCGATTATTGTTTCAGGCGTAAATCTGTATCGGGCCCAAACTTGTTTTGGCAAAAATATTTCATGAGGATTTTGTCGGTCAAGGATTATGCGAGGCCTTCTTTCTTGAAAACGGCGGCGACCAATTGCCATTTTTCTCCTTCGTAAGCTTCAAATCAGCCCCTTAAACACAGAATTTCTGCACTAGCCTTTTAAAATTGTCGCTTAGAAATAGATTCTGTGCTAATGGTGCTTCGGAAGTGCAGAATTCCACAATATGGGCCCTGTTTTTTTGGGGGGGGGCTCAGTGATTGAAACTTTCAATGTCAGGGCCTAGTCTGCGTAACCATACCTCATGTTTTCATGTTTGAGAGCCAAACTCTCACTGGTCCATTTAGCATCACACGCCTGTTACTGTTTTACTGTTCATCATATACCTTTTTATTCATCTCATGTGTAGGCAGGAGGGTGTGCATGAGGGCGTGTATCGTCGCCTAGAACACCTCCAAGTCACCGCAGCAACGAGCCAGTCCATTCTGGAGTGCATCAGTTACCAGTTCAAAGACCCCTTCTTCGTCAAGCCCTCGCCTTACTACCTAAAGGTGATAAAGATGGGCGCCCTACAAAATAACTTACCCGAAGAGTACCGGCGATATCTGGACTCCATCGAAGATAACGGGTACAGTGGGCCATTACCAGTCTTTGATGAAATCATGAGGAATGTGAAGCTTTAACCCCAGTACATCTTCCCAGATTCTTCAAACTTCACCAAGGTTTGCCTGATTTTGTTGGATTGAGGATAGTCAATTGCTGTCATTGGTTTGTCTTCGTGGTGGAGCAATTTTGAGGACCCAGGAAGGACCATTGAATAAAAGAAATGCCGGAGACGTAAGGTTTAACAGGTTTAACCTTTTAGTAACTTCAGGCTTTTGAGAAGAGGGGTGTCCAAAACATCCAGGGTTTTTTTCCATGATATTTATCCCACAGTAGGTGATATACTCTAGCTAAAAATATTCTTATTTTTCAAAAATTTTAAACTCTTTTTAAAGGCTTTGATCTCAAAATTATTTATAAGAGTTTTAATGGGACCAAAAGACCAATATTTGCACACTAGCCTGTGATTTGATTTTGTTGTAGTCAAGCACTGTGGCTGGCAGTGTTATTCAAGTTCCCCAGGTGTAAGAAGCAAGTCATTAAGCCTTCTAGCTCAGCTGTGTTAACCAAGCCAGATACCACCCATCCTCATGGAGACCACTTAGGAGTTGTTTTTTTTTTCAAAACAAAGAAAATGATTCATTCCTGTTGGTTGGCAGTGTGCATGTACTGCATTGAACTTCAATGATGTGGATAATACAGCTATTGGCATCAGGGTAGAGTAATCCCGCAAGCACAGTTGGCACCATGCCAAGTTTTTCAAATGTGCTGGTTAATACTCCAGATTAGCGCTGACATCCTATGCAAGGTTCCAGCATTAATCAGCATAATCAAACAGGTGGGTGTGTGCCTACATGTACATGTAGGGTAGGGAAGGGCCTATGCATTGGCTGTCATTGGCATTCTGTTAACGGTTTAATCGTTGAACAACTCTTGGAGATTTGCTGGACATTAAAAAAAGGACACTGTTTGATTTGGGTGAACTCTGTTGGATTCACTATTGGATACTTTTCTTTTACCTAAGTGAAACAGGGCCCTCCTGCATTTCTCAAACAGGCTGTTTTGAAAACCAAGTTTTACAGAGAAGTGCTGTGAATAACAGCATGCATATTGGAATTCGAAATGAGGTTTTTTTTTTAAAGTAGTGGGCTACTGTAGGGCAATGCTGTTTGAAGGCAAAAGAGTGCATCCTCTCTTTGAGAAATATCATTGGCTATCGATTTTTTAAAAGTGATATGAAATAAGCAAGCACAAGTTTAAACTGTGCAATACATTCCACAAAGTTGTAGATTTATATTCACTTTTGATTCATCATATTTTGGACATGATAATGTATATAAATTCAAAAGGGCATTTTACTATGCTCTTCTCTTTGGTGTTCCAATTTTATTAAATTATCAACTCTATTTGAAGTCTATTGAAAACTTGTGTGTGTTTTTGAGATCTTTAAAGTGATATATGGTAGAACTTGCTGATATCGTTGAAACTGTTCAAAAGGTGTTCCACTACAGTCCCTGCCAACAAACAGCTATCATGCTTATACACATCAGCAACAGTGAGCCAACATTTCCATTGCTGTTTTTCAGAGGTGGGATTTTTCCAGATTCGAATTGCATCCTGGGCATTTGTTGTTTCAATGAAACTCCCCGAAAATATTTATGTAAACAACTTCAAATATTTGACTTAATTTATTGAAATACTGTGATATAATTATGCATTACATTGTTATTGAAATCTGAGGCAATGTGAATTTTACACACACACCAACTGCCCCAAACTGTACACGTCAGTTTTTAAAAACAGACTATAAACAACTGTTTCCATGTACAGATCATCTGGAATAATCCTGGAAGATTCAGAGTTAACTGGACGGATTTGAGCAAGTCATATTCTTTCCTAATAATTCACAATAAAAACATATTTACAATATATGCCAATTTACAAAACCCCTGATCTTGTGATCAAGGGAATATTTACAACTGTAAAGTTTCTGCAGACGACCCCAACCAGACACAAAACAATAGTAGAATTTGGGGAGCCTATTACACAGTGTTCATTCTGTGATGCTGAGATTGCAAGTTCTATAACTCAGAGCTGTTAAGCAACCCAATCCGTCTCACGCCAGCCTTCAACAGCCGCTGCAGAACTGTCTCCAAGGGTTGGGGCGTGGCCGTTGAAAGCTGGTCGCTGGGTACATCGAAGGCACGGGCCAAGTAGTCGATCATGTGGGTCTTGTCTATCTCTGCGTCCACTACGTTGATGGCCATTCGCAGCTCGGGTAGTGGAACCTCCCTATGAAAAGACAGGAAATGTACTGTGGCAATGTTGGACACAAATGGTTGATCTACTCGATCACCCAATGGGTCTGCGTGATTGGTTGATCTTGTATGAAATCTCCAACTTTACTTCCCTTTTTCGAAGCAACTAATCGCGCAAAGATCGAGTGACTGCGCGTATTGACTGGTCACACTCAACAGCAACACACTGCTGAAGTATGGAGGAGTCCACAGGTCCAAATCTAGAGTTACTTTGAGCTTGTCTTGCCCCCCCCCCAAAAAATATTGGAGGCCGACTCCCCCTCAAGGGGGGCCAAGACGAAATGGTCACACCCTGGCTGTATTAACGTGCTTTGTGTTGCAGACGTACTTTCTTCGGTGTCAAGCACACTGCATCCCAAAAAATATTGGAGGCCGACCAAATTGCTTGGGACATGGTTGGAATAATGCCTGTTCATTTCAACATGTCCTGTTTCAACCATAGCATGCCGAAAATTACTAAAAGTACTTTTGAGTTCTGCGAACTCCCTGAGGCACTGCAATATTTCAAAAAAGTATGACAGAAAAGAGTGATGGACTCCAGCGCTAGTAATATTCTTGGTAACTTCAGACTGGTGACCCAGCTTAAGTCTATGCATTACTTACTCTCTGTCTCCAAGCTCCATCTTGATCTGCTCCACATATTTCTGGCGCTCCGCCTTGTCCTGTTGCCGGATCAAATTGATGAATGGACGGGCACCGCCATCTTCATCCTTGTAAAAATAAATGAGACAATTGGATCACTCATCACTTATAGTGTGAGTGATGAGTCCTGGCATAGTGGCGATGGTGTCAGGGCAAAGCAGCAGGATCATGGTGCTTATGTTCCCGGGTAAGACACTTTATCATGATTGAGTTCACTTGAGTTCAATGGGTACCAGTGAAGGTCAGGAATAGATCACGTTGATCTAAAGTGCTTCATCAAATCTGATCTATTGACCTGATGACTGGGGTTGGTCAAATAATTAATTGCTTTGATACATTTTGCAAATATTGACACATAACACCGTAAGAAAAATTAAGTAGAACCTTTGATAATGCGAGTGCTACATTTAGGTGACTACTGTAAATTCTTTTTGTCAATAAGCCATTTGCGAGTTAAATTTGCATAAAATCTGGTACACTGAGTTATCTGATTGCAAATGAACGTAACATTTTGAATTCCTCAGACAAAAGACACTATTGCTATACCTCGTGATTCGGGGCAAGGTTTTGCTTAGCAACCACCATCTCTGGAATGGACTGGTTCCTTTGTGCCCTTCTTATCCATTGAGAACAGTGAATTGTTACAAGGCGTCTCTTATGTAACGAAGCAAAAGCTTGCCCCGAATCACGAGGTATAGCAACAGTGGCTATAGTATGAAGACGTCCAATTGTTATGTTCACGTGAATTTAAAGAACTCAGTGTACCAGATTATTCAAATTTAACTCACAAACGGCTTATTTCTTGAGCCCTCGATTAAAAATTCTTCCATGAAACATTGCTTTGCAAAAACAGGCCACCAACTAATATGCTTTGTGATGTATATTGCTCAAGACTGGTTATCAGCTACTTCTTGCTCAACATAAATCTGCTGAGAAACATCTCACTACTGGGCCCCCACTAAATTTGGGTCCTTCGTGTGAAATATACTGACAGAATATGACATTTAAACAACTTGAATGAGGAATCGGCACCAACCTCCAAGAAGAGCTCCTGGTATTTTAACATCTCGGCACCCTCTTCTGGTTTCAGGTCGTCGATCAAGACTGTCATCAGAGCCTCAAAGTTCTCATCTGGCTTCACAGTGAACACCTCTCTCAAAGCCTTCTCAAAGTTCTCTTGGGATATCACCTGGATGGTGGTCACCTCGGGTGTCTCTGCTTTTTCGTTTTCCTGGAGAAGGTAAATGGTTTATTTCTGTTACATTGACAAATTGAAAGGCATTTTCAATACGTCTGTCCTCTCAAGGTCGACAACAAGTACTTTGGCTGCATCCGAATCTGTTGTCTAGAGCTAGGTCTAGGTCTTCACTCCATTGGAAATACACGGAGACACACAGACAATACATGTAGCCGTAGCTCTTGAAGCCTATTTTGGACACAGCCCACGTTTGTTCTTACTGACATAAATACACTGTTCACAATACATGTACACAATAGCACAATTTCCACCCTTCAAAAGCCTTCAGCTGAAGGGTTAAAAAGAAACCTCTTAACTGGTTAATAAACTTTCTGCTCTGACGGGAGAAACTGAGTGCACATGAAGTGCTGCAGAGTTTGGCTGACAGTCCAAACTGCTTGCCCTGAATTACTGCACAAGTCAGTCTGAAGTGCTGATGAGGGAAGCACAATCTACAGATTTATTTATGACTTCAAAGGGATCTGCTGAATATGTCATAACTTTACAGGTGAAAGTGAAGAGGTTAATAGCCTTGAAGTCTTCTGAAGGGCCACAGACTAGAGGGGATTTATTGTTTCATATATAAGCATAGCTGCCATGAAACTTAATTCATTTAATCTGACGACTTTGAAATCTGTTCAGGCTGGTGGAAAGTTTTTCAACCGAGTTCATGCCCCCCCCGCCGGCACACGCGTGAAGACCATGCATTCCAAGAGAAAATGTCCTCACATGCTCGGTGCGTCCCACGCCAAAGGCACATGGACCTGCGCATGCAGGAGGTGCGTTCTCAGTTGACAACTGTAATTTCCATGTGAAATCACGCCCTCTCCTGTTCTCGCTCTCGGAGGATCAAGAAAACCTACCTCTGTAGGTGACTCCTCCCCTTCTTGCGTCTCTGGTGCTGGTTCCGTTTCTGCCGGCGCTGGTGTCGCCGATTGGACCTCGATGGTCTCTGATGCCTTGTTGAGTGCTTCCATTAACCGTTCCAACATCTCCATCTGTTGACTGTAAACCTGCTCATTCACCTGCAACGAGAAACAATTGGCAAAAAAGGAGTTCCCAAAATCTTGGTTATTCGGCCAAACCTGTGTGACACCACCTGACTAATTTGAATTACAAAGCAACGTGAGCTTTCATTGCGGCATAGTGCACCACCAAGTGGTTCCCTTCAACGAGCCATCAGTTTTGCAAATTCCCAATCAACATCATACAATTACTACCAAACAGTACATTTTGTGTTAATCACTCATGAACAATGCACTTGTGAGCCTTTATAAAGACATTCATTTAATTCACCTCTATTTATATACGCATAAATTATAAAAATTAAAACAGTGCCCAGTCCTCATCAGAAGAAATGCCGTCAACATTGACCCTTTTCCTGCTGCAAAAAAGGCTATTTTGTGCTAACATCTTAACAGTGCATTGCTACTGAAAATCTCTCCAATTGTTAGAGTTATTAGCCAAAGCAGGAGCTCAGAGCTGAATTTGCCACCTACCTCATCTTGCAGTACTTGGGAGAAGAGCTCACACATGGCCTCCTCATCTTTGTATCTCTCGCAGGCATCGTGGAGGTTGTACGCCTTCTCCGCGATCATTTTCTTGTCTCGGTACCTTTCGTCCAGAAACCGGGCGACAAAGGTATCCATTGGTTCCGGGGGACCACTCTCCTTCTGCGGAAAAAAAATGCCAAATTTGCCTTGGGTCGGTTTTTCATGTTTTGTTATTCACCGAAGGAATTTCAGATAAAGCATTAACGGAATTAAACCAGCCATGAGGGCGAGCACAATTATTTGTGAAACTGTTAAAGCACACTCCATGGAAACGTGTATGTTACTTTTTTATGTTCCTTTGACCCTTTACTGCAGACTTCCAAAATAACTTGATCTCTCAAGAGACACCAGCTCCACATGCCTATGGACACTGTGTAGGTACTGTCCCTGACACTTGACTATCTACTCACAAGGATTAAGGAAAAAGGGAAGGAGTACTGTGCACTGGTCTCTGCACTAGCTTAAGTGAATGGAGCAGAGTACATAACACCACTTTTCAACTGAATGTGCACAAAATACATACAGTCTGCACGAGAGGAGAGATTCTGTGCACAAATTCAGGGCAGGAACAATGTCCCCAGCAGCGTTCTGCAATTTTCCACTTAGTTATTCATTAGTCAACACAGTAAGTTTTCAGATCTCACACATTACAAGCCAACATCTGCACTGTGCAGGATATCACGGGTATGAGAGCGATAAATTTGACATAAATTGCATACCTCCGACTCCTGTTTAGTCTTGGCCTTCCATATCTCCTTGATGAGTTCCAACGCTTCGCCCTTTGTGTATTCTCTGTTCCTCACTTTAATGTCCGTCTGCAAGTAGAAGGGTACATCCTCTCCAAATCCCTGCAAGGAAACAAAAAGCGTGAAGTCTTGAATTGATGAAAAGATTATCTAAGATTCAATCAGCTCAAAATTTAGAACGTTGCCAACTAAAATCCAAAAAGACCGTCTTCTATCCAGTAGAAGTGTAGGCTTCCATCTGTGCTTGATGTCAGGCAAATTTGAGAAAAGATCCAAATTGGGAGGGGAAAAAAATCCCGGAAAGAAAACGCCAGCTGAAAGGCTGTAATAATAAAAAACTTGAACTTTTCAGCTAAAAAGGCATGTTCTCTTTCTCAAATAACTACATTTACTATGTGAATCTTGCAATGAATTCTTTGTGAATCCTAAAGAGTTCTTAGTGCAAGATGCAAAAAGTGGCAAATCCTGAATTATTAGCATATGTATGTATTCAGAAATGAGTAAAACAAAAGAATCATGATATCAGTAAGAAATCCTAATATATCGCAGCTTGGAAGACCTCTGCTGATATCCCCTCACCCTGGGCTCAAAGAAGGCCAGGCCCTCCCCGTCTCCTGCCAGCTCCTTCAGCAGAAGCTCCACCTTGTAGTCACTGCTCTTGTCCTTGGAGATGGCCTGCCATCTCTCTCCGCCTCCTTCCATGAGATCGGCACAGCGATCCCAGTCAGGCCTGCGAGCAACAAAAGGTTTGGATATTGAAGACGCCAGCACTTGAGTAGGATCAAAATCTTGTGAAACTTTTAAGCCACCTCAACAATCTCTGGTGTTTTGTACCCCTCATATTTAAAAAAATCTCATTTCCAAAACTCTAAAAGAAATATTCTTAGTACATCAGAAATATAAATAGCATTGTTAAGAATTTAGGATTAGTACGGTATTGATAGTAAAGTTAGAAACCATGAGTTTTGAGTTCAGTACCTTGGTGTCGCTGATCGTTTTAGGACCTCCAGCTCTGAATAGAACTCATCCCTTTGTGTTACCACTTGCTTGTTAACCTCTAGCAGTGTGCTGAAAGAAAACCATCAAAACGACGACAAATTCTAAGTCGATGCATCTTTTAGGAGGTTGTAATTTATTATTTGAAATGCCTGGCAAGACTTGGATCAGACATCAAATGCTCATATTCAGAACACAAATGTCCAAACGTGCAAGTAAAAAATCTAAAAATCATATCTCAATGACGAATAAATGTCAAATTGTGGTCAAACAGATTGCTAGTCCCGAAATGAAAGATTCACCTCCATCGACTTCCACTCTTGTTTAACACATTCCAGTGCCATGCAGTAATGTCTGTGCATAAGACTACAGATTTGGGGTAACGATTAAATGTACGTGTCTCCGACAAGTAAAAAAAGGCTGCACAGTTATTCAGATGACTCACTCATGTTCTGACATCAGGACTTCATGGTCGTTCTTCAGCTGAGCCAGTTCTTCTTGTAATTTCTGTCAGACATAAAATAAAAGCTGTTAAAAAGTAAGGGTTGGTAGATGTATGAACCTGTATCTTTCTTAATTATATGCACCAATCGTAATGTCTGGATTATTTCATACCACAAAAAGGCGAAGACAAAGAGGAAAATAAAAACTTCCGCGTAGAAAAATTCTACAAGCAGCTGACCACGGATGCAAGTCCCAGCTAACCAGGCTTATAAACCTTGCCACACTCTTGAACAGCCTTGGGTAAAGGGTGCTTACTGACTTACAACTGTTAAGACCAAATCCTAGTATTAACTAAAACACACCACAGAGAAAACAAAATTAACGGTCTGAGAAATTGAACAGCCTTGGGTAAAGGGTGCTTACTGACTTACAACTGTTAAGACCAAATCCTAATTTAACTAAAACACACCCCAGAGAAAACAAAATTAACGGTCTGAGAAATTGAACAGCCTTGGGTAAAGGGTGCTTACTGACTTACAACTGTTAAGACCAAATCCTAATTTAACTAAAACACACCACAGAGAAAACAAAATGAACAGTGAGAGAAATCCAGCAAATACAATCATCCTCAGCAGGTCTGGTTTTTCAGTTGCCGATGTGCTTGCCAAGCAGATTGCAGTGTCATTTTAATTATCCTAGCCGGGGGCCACTGGGGTCATGTATTGCTCACAAAGGGACATACAGAATTTCTTTTTCAATCCACAAATTTATACAAATTGGGGAAAAATACATGTAGCTAGGATGGGCGGATGCAGCTCTTGGAGCCTTCCTGATGCAAATTGCCGTTACCTCATGTTGTACTTTGAGTCCCTCAAAGTCCCTCCTGGGCACCACATCTCCGTAATTGGCGATCATCTCAGTCAGACGCTGGGTGGCATCTGTCAAGTCTTCTCTTGCTTTTCTGAAAGAGGAGACAATGAAATTTTTGATTTGAGTCAGACAAAAACCCGTGGTTGACGTTTTGCAGCTTATCAGTATGAGTTAAACACTAAACAGTACTCAGAGTTCTAAATCCATGGACTATAAGTTAGCTTTTATAAACTACATCAGCCAATCTGATTTTTTTTGCTGGAGATTAAATGACAGAAGTCAAATTAGCAAATCACGAACATGGGATGAAAGTAACCTCTAAAGCAATAAAAAATGAGAACCCTCAATCCAAATTCAAACTTTCTGAAAGTAAGAGACTCCAGAAAAAGTTTGACAATGGTCAACCAGGCTCTGCTACACTGCACAACAGGAGTCAGTGCCAGACTAGTTAAAACTCATGTCTCAAACCCCCCCCCTCCAAAAAAAGATTACTTTCTTGAATAAAAATTTGGACTGTTCTGTGAAGCCGGGCTTTCTTTCATTCACTTCCGACCCTGACCTTAATGCAATCTTGAGTTTGACTGGGTCCTCCTTGATCTCCGCCTGGTTGCCCTGGCCTTGAGCCTTCTGGTAGTCTTCTTGTTGGTAGCGCAGATCGTTGATATCTGACACCAGCAGCTTACGAGCGTCACACTCGTTACGGTATTTGTAGTATTCTGCTGCGACCTCTTCTTGCAACTTAAGCGAACAAATCACAAATACGTTCATTTTCAATGAACCTACATACAATTTTCTGCAGAACTGAGCGATGCCAACAATTTGTCGATGTTATTAATGTATAAATCACTGCATGGTAATCAAGTGTTATCCTCTAACAAAAGAATATGTGCTGACCATCACTGCAATTCTTGTATGTCAAGAAGCTGTAAATTTATATCTTGTCATGGTCAGTTGCCCTGTTTAAATCCTTTACCAGAGTTGATCCCACCAACTGACCCCACCCATCCACAAGCTCAGGGGTCGAGTGGTTAAGACATCATCACTAGTGGGTGAAAAGTCATGTGTTCGAATCCAAACTGTGAATTTTTTCTTACAAGCTCTTAGAAAGCACTGACCTCACAGTGCTTGTTAAATTATGTAGGTTTCAATACACCATAATTTTTTGTACTGCGTGCACTGACTGTTGATTGTAAGTGCCAAATCTCATGGTTGGCAGAGCCAAATCATTAGTCTCCATTCCAGCAGTTGTAGATGCCAATAGATGAATGTTCAGATGACATACCTTATCTATTTGCATCTGTAGAGACACCTCATGCTGCTTCATGGCATCTATCTTCTCCTGCAATATCTTCTTTTCTTTCTTTAAGTCCAGCATCTCCTGCCTCTCTTCATCTCTAAGAGCCATCACCTTCTGGTCGCATTGCTCCGAAACTGTCACCAACATGGACTGAAAAAAAAACAACAAAATTTCCAATCTTGGTAACTCAAATCTGCAAGAAATTGAACAGGTGGTTTTCTTCAATGCAACACACATGCATTCACTTTTCGTACTAATCCAACTTTGAAGACAAAATTGTGAAGTTTAGACACAGCCTTTTTGTTAAATACTGCCACAATGCTCTTCAATTGGTCAATTTGTCACTTAAATAGGATTGTCAGTACTTGACAATGTGTATCCTTGGATGTCAAACTTGTCATTTATCCATATTTTTTAATTTTGAGGAAAGTGAGTAATCTGTTGGCAAGAAGCCAAGACCATTTTGAACATACCTTAAGCGGTTCCAATTCCCTGATCTGCTCTCGCTGGTGAGACAGCATCATTTCATATTCCGTCTTGATGGACGATAGGAGGGGCTTGTAGGTCTTGAAATCCTCTATCAGATATTCAAAAACCTCACGATATGCCTACAATTCAAGTGGAAATATGCACACATGTGTTTAATATTCAATAAACTGAAACTTGGCCTTATTTCACAGAGCTGCAAAGCTGAAAATTCATGGGCTGAGAATTTTTCAGCGGCAGACCGGTCATGAGCAGTGCAAATGGCACGCCATTTTGGTGGGTAACCGCTCCCCCTCTCTGCCTACCTGTAACCTAAGTTCACTGGGGCCTTCCTTGTTCCCATCGAGATTCCGTAATTCCTTCTTCAGGAACATCTCCAGCTGCTCTAGGAATCGTGGCTTGGGGATGACGGATCGCTGGGGGTTCTCGGACAGCTCCGAGGACACCCTGCCGTCTGGACTGGACCGTGGCCTGTGGCTAGGGATGCCTGGCTTGGAGGTAGCCTGGGCTGTGGCATGAGCCGGCCACGTGTCCAGGGTGCCGGCTTTTGTGTCTACAAACGGCTGAGAGATAATATTGAAGATAAGGGAATTCGTAAGGAAGAGATACTCAACCTGGAATGCTTGGTACATGTATGTTCAACAGGGGATACCGCCCGTTCTAAGTGGCAACATGGCTCTGAGAAACTAGCCTATTCAAATAAATCAGAGCTTTCTCAAGGCTCAGCTTACAATTTGGCACAACAAGTCTAACTGGCTTCTTCTTTGGTCCCAAAACCATGCAGGCCTCTGTTCAAATCAACTGACAAGACTTCAGTCTTTAACTCCACAACATCGCATGTGACATAAAGGGCAAGGGAATCCTACATTTGAAGCTTACTTTTAGAACCTGTGGTGGAGGTAACTTGTGTTTTGTCCTGTCATTGACGGCATTCAACTGGTAGCTTGGTCCCTGGAGGCCCTCATACTGCTTGACGGCTCTTGGAGAAATGCCAACTGCTGGCTGTGTGCTGTTGAAAATGAAGTGGAAATCATATTTGAAAAAAAAATGCACATCCATAAAATTGGTAATAATAGTTACTGGTGTCTGTATATGGAACTCTTTCCAAGAAAAAGTTGAATGAAGCTGTCTTAGTGAAAATAGCGAAATTTATTTTGTGGCAAGTTGGCATAGGACTGCTGGCCAGATATCATGGAAATGGATTTCCATGATATCTGGACTAGCCCCACCATCAATAAAAAGCCAAATAAATCTTCTAAAGCCAACTTCTGGATTGTAAACGTGACAATTTGTGACTGCTTCACCAAACTCTTCTACATTGCAGTCCACACAGCTGAGGTCTGAACACCGTTATTTGTGCATGAGGCAGATCCATGACCATGTTGAGCGAAATCTTTGTCAGTGCGCATATTTAAAATTTGCATGCACAATATTTAAATCTTGCACAACTACAGATATTGCCATAAAAATTGTACACTGCGATTAGAATTGCATGGATACATGAACCACAGGCAACAGTCGTACATAAGAGACTAACATCAACTACACGTTTTGCACGGTTTTGTCAGGTATGTTTCACATGTGATGTGAGTACTGTATGTACTCCGTCAAGTCAGACTTACTAACTGGTGACACATTGGCAATCTTTGACGTTGACAGCAGATATCACAGAAAAAGCTATCAAATGACGGTGCCCTATAAGAGTTATAAGATATGCGAGCAGCAGAGTGCGACGACTGTGTACTGTATATGTGAAGGGATGGCTGACTGGGAAAGAGCGATGTAAGTCTGCCTTGATTCCAAGTCTAGCCGCCAGCCGGGCCCAGTCAAACGCCCAACCATCACGACTCCCTTTAAAAATTGCACAGTTTGCAGCACAAAATTACGCACGTTCAAAGATTGCGCTCGATGTTAGCTGCACCGATTTAAAATATGCGCAACCTACTGAAGATTGCTCAAGGAAAGTTGTGCAAGATAACTTTCACAGATTGCGCTGAACATCCACATCAACAATGTCAACACTGCAACATTCACATTGGATTGCCGACTTTTTCGACCTAGTCTACCAGTACCATGTCTAGGCCTACCTCCTCCTTGACTGTTGACAAGCTCCACAAAGTGACAACCATAACTGATGATTGTTTATTCAAGGTAAAGTTTAGACCCGTAAAAACAGGGCCCAACGAATACTCCTCCGTCGTACGTATTCGTTGGGCCCTGTTTACACGACGGACATGACGGAGGAGTAGGGCCCTAGGCCTATTCGTTGGGCCTGTTTACGGGTCTAGGTAAAGTTAGGCCTAATTAGTAATTGAATTCACTCACCTTCCAATTGGTGGCAATTTTGCCAAAGCCACGGCTTTTGTAGTCATCTCTAGCAGCTTCTGTCAAATTCCAACTTCAAGATGAACATTCAAGGCGTGGCAACGACAAATTCAGTTCTGCAAAGCCGGAGATCTGCAAGGAGCAATGTGCACAGCACGATACGCGACAGCAAAGCCGGACTCAGCTGCATCAGTACAGTTGCTATGGCGCGCGTGCGTACATTGACCTCTGTGAGTGAACTCGCGCATCAAAACATAAGGGATCTCCTCAACCATAGAAACGATGGGCAATATAACCAACTCTGTTTCAAGAAGGCAAAATAAAACAAATGCGAAAATCTGAGTGCCACTTAGGCTTCAAACAATAACAAATGATAGGAAAATAGCAGATACAAGCATGACTACTAGTAAATGAGCTACATGTAAAAATCGTCATGATCAAGGAGCTCGGCCATACCAAAATTACCAAAATTACCTCATCCTGAGGCGCCCACACGGAAACCAAAGAGGGCGCTCTATTGCTTAACCAATGAAAGGCAACTCACTAGGAGAAATTGAAGGTTGCGCACCAAGAGCGCAAAGTACTTGTCCATGTTGGTCAGCCTTTTCGAGTTTCATATTTTAAACCTAACCAATTGATGTGTCATACATTATAACAGCAACATTTTTTATCAGTGATATTTTCTGGATATATTGGTCGTGGAGAAGGGGGTGTTTCATTTAGGCAAATTATTCCGCCCTGAAATTCGATATTGTTTGACACTCGGCAACCCCACAAAGTAAAGTCATCCCCCGGCGACTCGGAAGTGTTGATCGTTCTTTCATGCCGCCTTTTGCTGATTACATTGAAGTTAGCAACATCTAAATAAATCGAACGGTTGCTAAGTCAATTAGATATAAAACTGGGCGGCAACCTGAAATGATTCATCACTAAACCTCGTAAACTGGATCGATGTGGAGTCAATACACTTTGTTCACAGCAAGTGTGTGGAAATGATAAACTGTAACTTTGCCTACATGTTTTTCTGGGCTATTCGTACTGAAATACTGATATATGTGAAACCTCCAGTTTATTTTAAATTGACTTTAAAAAGTCAATTTTTTGTAAGATAAAAAGCGATAATTATGACAGTTTTAAAGATCAGACGCTCTGGTCCTGCAAAAATAAATTTTTCAGGCTAAAATGCTAACCCAATCAAATTTGAGTTAAGTTTGTTTTGGAAATTCAACAAATTGCGACCAATAGTCTCCACAACAAAACTTACATGCACATAAGTTATTGTAAAGTGGTGCACCACGTCATTATCTTACTATCCTTTAAATAACAGCAAATTAATAGTGTGGCACCAATTCTGTTTGGGGAATACTTAACCAGAAAACTCGTTACAGGAGTCAAGATACAGATCTATCCCCTTCTTTGTCCAATTCTTTCTGGCTGGTTTCGGACGTATTGTTCGCCTTTATATCATACATGACCGGGTACCCACGAACGTAATATTCAGTGTAGTTTCTGTGAGCTATGCAAATGACAAACATCATATGGGCAAAAATGGCGACTCGCGGAGAAGGAACTAGCAGTAGCACTGGCCAAAACAATGAAAACGTAGACCCTTCAGACCGTCTGAAACAGCTTTATCCTGCCGTAAATGAAGAAGAAACACCTTTGCCTAGGATATGGAACTCTAGAAATAAATCCACCTTCATCGGACTATCGCAAAACAACCTCCGAGTCCATTACAAAGGTAGGCCTCAGTCAAAATATTTTTAGGCCAACAGCACGAACACTGCATGAACGAGAGAGCTGATGATAAAATGCGTAATCATGATGAACACAGTTGAACCATGGATGTTGATTTGTTTGCTTGATATCAGAACAAATGAACTACCCAATGGTGCAGTCGCCAAGTAATTTCATTTGAAATTTTGTTTGTTATTTTTAAGTGCAACTCAGTTTTTGGTTTAGATGCACAAAACAGTGTCACTCAATTCTCTTTTCTATAGGAGGCCTTTCTAACATTATTCAACAAATATAAAAATGTCAAAATTTAAATAACTTGAAAATGAAATACTTGTAAATGGTGATATTGCGTCACTTTGTTGATACAGAAAGGAAACATGTTAAACCAATTCCACCTTTATCATTGTAAACTTCAAATCAAAGGAATCTGAGAGATAGTCAATTTTTTATTTAGTTTTGACAGTTGTAGCTTTCCAAATTCATTCTCTCATTTTAAGTGTATTCTTCACATTTTTATTTTGCAATTTACTGTTGGTTTCATTTATGATGATTGTAGAATGGCATAACAAACATCACTGCGTTCTGCTGGTTTTGTTCTCTCACTTGCACCTCCTCTCCTCATTTCTTCTTGTAATCTGTCATCTTTTTTTTTACTGTGGTGTCCTTTCTGTTACTTTATTTTAATAGAGTTTCATGATACTTATCACTTGCCTGTGTTCTTTTTGTTTCCCAAACAAAGTTGGGTATGCCCAACTTTGTTGACAAAAGTTGGGCATTCCACAGTTCGAAGCAGTTAATTGAGGTCGTGCTATTTAGTGTCAAGTTTGGTACTATCAGATCACTTCAAACAGGTACATGTAAAATATATAAGATGTACATGTACTTTGCAAAGGGAAGACATTAATTGATTACTTATGAGTTTTGTTCTTACTCTGACGTATAAAACTGAAGCCACAAAAGCTGCTTTACAGTCACTTCGCCCCATTTCCAGTTCGCCCATGACCACGTCACCCCTAACCACATTGCCCTATTGCCATGTCACTCTATATCCACTTTTCCCCGTCTCCTCTTTGCCCCAATGTAATCTTTAATGTCTTTTGTTTTAGTTTTAACCTAGACGAAGGCTGCAACGTTGACGGTTTGTCTCCCCAGCCAAACTAAAGGTTCCAGTGCAGGCAATTTGCTAAGGAAAATGTTGCAACAAATATGATAATCCTAACGGTCTGAAGGCGTCATGTCTGCGCGATGTGGACCAATACAGAGTTACAGGGCGAGGCATTTGTCTTTAATTATTCTGAAGTTAAGCCTATGAACTTCAAGATACTACAAGTGAATATAATTGCTAAAGGAGAATATAAAGGAGAGATGTGTATTTTGGGGTTTCTGTCCTCAAAAGTCAACTTCGTTCAGAAATTGATTCACAGAAGTAATTTCTCAAACGATGAAATGTCTCAAACGAAAGGATTAAACTGGCAGAGAAGACTCAGGCCTACATGTACAGGGGATCCATAAAAGACTAGTTACAGGGCAATTTTGATGAAAAATAAAGGGAATGATATCATTTCTTTCTGTATTCCAATTTTATTATCAAATCCATTGTCACGTGGTGCCAATCCACGCCACCTGTAAAAAAGTCACCTTGTTTATGCCAGAGTTTCCAAACACAATCAAGCACTTCTGGGGTGAAATGGAAATAGGGCAAAGTGGTGACAGGATGATGTGGGGATGGGGTGAAGTGACATGGGGCAAAGTGGAAACGCGGCGAAGTGACTGACACTCTGTCATAAATACTCATTGGCCTAAGGACAAAACCCCTTACTAAAAAGAATTATGAATAATTTTGCATATATATATACAGTAGTTCATATTCAAGGCAGATGACAACAAAATATGGGTAGTACTAAAGTACAACTGACCCATATTCACCAACATCAGTAAAGGGGAGACAGTAAGAAGCAGTTTAAGAGTTTTAGAGGTGAGAGGAAAACCCCAGAGGAATATTCTGGATAAAACCCACGGAGTCAGGTGGGGACTGAAAACCCAATCCACTTATGGACCGGGCCAGGAATCGAACCCGGGACCCATATATTAAAAAGCATTTACATACAGTTGAAGATGCTTGCAATGATTCCTTTCCTCATGCCTTACGACCAGCTTTGTTCGTTTTGTTTTGTACATGTAAGCTTACTTGTACACAAACTGGGAAATAGTCTAATGTGTCATGACAGTAGGAACAACGTGGGAGCATCTTCAACTCATTTGCCTACCGGCAAAATTTCCATCAGTCTTAAGATTTCGTGATTTTTCCAATCATGCGTAGTCCAATGTCGTGTGTAGGTTATGTTCGCACGCATTTTAAACTTGTCTCATAACGGGTTTCATAACCTGCTCTCTGTGGGTGCTTGTCAAATTTCATAGCAACATACACACAACATGTACATTATAACTCTGCATTGATGTGGCCGTGAATGAGATTCCTGTACGAATACCTCATACATATTCATGACGGATCATTGAACTCTTATTCACGGTCACATGCCAGCCGCTTTTTTTGCTCTTTGCCAAGCATGCAAGGAGTAAATAAACATGCGTTTTTAACTGTCTTCAGTCGTACCCAGTGCGGCAAAAGTTAAAAACGCATGCACAGTTGCAGAAAATCCAGGAACTGTTACCCAGGTGTACTGTGCACTCCAGTGGCGCCAGCCTAGCAGTGGTATGCAGCTTTTATGAAAAGATGGTGGCAAACATGTTCATTTTCAGTGGTTATAAAATAAAATGTGTACATTAATGAGGTATAAAAAACAAATATAACATGGTTTATTTCAGTTGGACTGTTGAAGTTAGCAGGGTTGTTGCTTGGAATTTTTTAGTGCCGGCTGTTTTTGACAATTTTTAAACAGTAAATACAGCCCCTTTTCTCTTTCAATGCTAAAAAAATTGCAATAATGCACATGTAGTATATATTGTAATTTGTGGTGGCCGGCAAGCTTCATTTTAATCCCCAGTGCCGGCTAGCACTGGCTGGCACCGGCCAGCGCAGCTACATTGTACAACTCTGGATCTTAGTTCCGCGAAATATTGGGAGTTGACAAACTTGTTCCCAAGGTGAATCAAACCATGTTATATTTATGTAATGTGTCTCTAAGATAAGCTGAAAAACAAATGGTGCAAGCAAGTATTGTTACATGTACTGGTACAGTACATGTACTTTACTACAGTACATGTATACGTGTGGAAACTGTACGTTACTACATGTATCTCACGGTATCTCACTGACAAGAGAGCACATTGTACAAAGCTGCCTAGTCATCATGAAAATTCTGTGTAAACACTTAAAACTTGACACTCTTGAAGCCTGTCCACAGTTGACCTCAGAAGTTCTTTGATATGACCTGTACGTTGGTTGTCTATTTTGAGCTTAAATAGCACACTGTACATGTATGTCCACAAGAGACAACCAATTAAAAATGAATCCCACATTTAGGTAAACACTGTAACGTGCAAATTTTAAAAGAAGGTGAGCCTTCAGTGTGTGCTAGTGCAGGATTTTACGAAGCTGTAGCCTTTAGGTCGTATGTGTACGTGTACTTGAGATGTTGCCCATTTCAATTCAAAGGTGTAGGCTGCTGTCATGGTAATGCTGAATGTCTCACATCAGTATTTGAATTTGATCAACATACATGTAACTAGAACAAGATGAATCATGTACGTGCATTCTTTAAGTTTCCCATTGGTGTTTCGGAATACGGTGCCTTGTGGAGATGGAGGAGAATGGGTTGAATAGGTCTCCACAAGGAATTTCTAAAGGTGTATAAGTCTCCACAAGGATTTCACGAAACTGATATTTGGAAATTGCTCAAAAAGGAGAAATGTTTAATTTGTAAAAATCTGTCACAAATTGAAGTGTTTCATATAAGGGACATTCGTTCAAAACTTCAGCCCAGGAGAGTGATTCATGTTGAAATGGGAGCATTTGAGAAACATTGTTTCACACGCCACCGTGTTAGTACTGGAGAACAAAGCCATGTCTCCACAAGTATACAAATTTCGGAATGTGTGGATATGGGTGTACATGTATGTGTGCGTGTGATGCAGTTGCCGTGGGGGATAATCAATTGAGAAGCACAACGCAGCATATACCGAGAAGCTGTCATCATTCAGAAAGTCATGGCTGAGTCTTGCTATTCATCGTACATGTATGTAAATTAGGAACAATCATGACACATGAACTCGTAGTGTACTTGTACAGTTGAAATGTACCTGGTTGGTGAATCAGTACTGACAAGCCCTTTGTAGGCACGTGTACAGTATAGAGGATTTGCATGGCTGCCATCTTGCAGGCCACTGAATTTGTTCCACAAGGGATGCACAAAGGAGGTTCACTGTGGAACAGAACAAATGCCCTGCAAGATGGCTACCATGCAGGGCCCCTATAGTTTGGAAAATGGTGATGTCCTGTGCTGTGTCTTTAGCCATGCCTAATTCCTTTGAAAATTACAAATAAAGTAACTGCACTGATGTTTTCAGCACTTCAGGCAATTGTTTCTGTCTAGGCATACAGGTATGCAGGATATTCGAGTGTGAAATATTGATCCAAGATGTGGCACATTTGTGTACCAAGCAGCACCATGTGTACATGTACCATGTGGGTGAAATACCGTGTAACGCCTATTATACGCACTGTACATACATGTATGTTACATGTGCCATTAGGGCTGTGAGAACATATATACAAAAATAGTGTCATTAGTTCTGGAGAAAGTGGGACAATAATTGTGCTATTGCTTAACTCCGGAGAAAAAATGCCTTTTCTTCAAAAGTATTAATCGAATACTTGAGCCTTATACATTACGTGTGTACGTTTTACATTTACACTTTGACATTGGCTGCAATTTTTTTGGTGGAATTCTCATGTCTCTGGGTTTTTCCGTTTCTCCTCCTCTGCATTTTCAGGTGTGGGAAAGACGCATAAAGATGCGGCCTCCGTAACGACAGCGCATCCCATCCCTGCCTCCACAGGCATCTATTATTTTGAAGTCACTATCATCAGCAAGGGTCGTGATGGGTAAGATTGTGGTTGATTGCACGTCATCAGAACTCGTTCAGGAAGGGCCCAACAAAAAGTCAGCAGGGCCGGGGTTGAAGTGCAGTTGCTATCAAAAACTAATTTCAAAACCTGTTGAAATAGTCAAATCTCTGGGAGGGGTCCTACCGGTACTTGGATTGAAACGTCGGCCAGTCAGTCCCTCAATCTGTTTGATTTGCATATTTTACGTCACTGTACAGTAGTCAGCAAAGGGTTTGCTGTTGTTTCGAGTAGGTCTGAGCCAATACGAATAATTCACTTTTTGAATATTCGATCTTCAATTCGATCGAATATCCAAATATTCATTCGTTCGACAGGCATATTGTCAATGAACAGTCCATGTACAAAATCAGTTGCAATAATGCACAAAATTGTACATTTTAATCATTGTAATAGCTTCTCACATCTGGGAGTATCTCCAGCCATGATTTAGCAAGATTTAGAGATGAACAATACTTCTTGTCCTTTAAAATTTTGTAATGAATAAATAAATGTTTGAATCGTTGTAAGATTTCTGTCGCTTTTCATTTGAGTCTGCTTGAAACAAGCCTCCACAGTGCAATTTTTCTCATTTAAAACAAAAGAAAATTCTCCCTTCATTTTCATGAATTTTGCATTCGAATATTCGAATTCGGAAAATAATATTCGATACTCGATCAAATGTCCGGATATTCAGCACAGACGTAGTTTCAACACATTTATACTTAATAAAACAGAGTATTTGTACAATCTGGAAGATACACTGACATACATGTTTGTACATGTTCCTCTCATCTCCTTGTCCATCTAAAGCAACAACCCTTTTGTTTCCTTCATGCCATGGGTGGCTCATCCCTGGCACTGAATTGATCAACACGAAAGTAAAATCTAATAGTAAACCAAATGATTATAAACCGGTTACTAAAAAAGTATGTTTAAAGTTAAGAAACACAACATATTTAAGAAATTGGACACTTCAAACAGTTTTAGAAAATGATAAAAATACAATAAAATTGTTGTTTAGAAAATGGTAATCACATGTCAAAATCCAAATCTTCGTGGAGTGGAAGTTGTGCATTCTCCGAAGCAGTGCACCGGTCTTGGTTTTTGTGAAATTCCTCCTCATTCCTCTCTCCTCATTCCTCATTTTCTTTTGCGTATTAATGCCCTAATTTGAGAAGTGGAAAGGATATTTAAAACTGTTTCACGTCTCCATTACGTGCACAGTAAACATCAGTCTCAGAGAACAAATGGGAATAACGTCCATCATTGACCGATGTTGAGCTGTACCAAGTACCGGTATTCATAGCGTACCCAGTATTTGACCCAACAATTATTCATGGACAGGAGTACCAGTCAAATCCAGTGGCCAACTCATGGCTGGGATTATAATCATATACAATGTAAAAAAAGACCTACCGGTATTGGTTAATGGTCAACCAGAAAGATGTGTTCAGAACAGTAGTTTCTTTAGAGCCCTGTGGTCATGTTCAAGTGAATCGTGTGGTCCTTATCCATTAGGAGCATTCAACACAAATTACAGTGTACCTCAGGGTCTGTACATACTGTACATGTAGTGTTATGTCCATGCACATACATGTACAGTTCAGACACCATATCATTGGACATGTACATGTACACACTGTGTATTAGTGCCTTTGAATAGTGTACATGTACAGTACATGTACCAGTACGTGTACAGTGTACTTGTACGCACAAACCGTGGTGTACAAAAAATGTATGCATGTATTGATTGTACACAAAGTTCAGTGTTGCACTGACCATGAACTAAGGTATACTACACGTACACGCATAATGCACATGTCACGATCCCCTGTGCATGTACATGTACAGTACTGGAAGTCCATGTACGGTAGCGATATGACAAACATGGACCATACATGTAAGCCCTAAGAAGTCTTATCAAGTTACTAAGAGGGGTCCAAACTCTGTTCAAGGTACTGTCAATATACAAGTTGTCTTAAGAATGAATTCTCATGACCTGTATGTACTGAAGTGATTGGTCAACTAAATGAAAACTGACATCATAACCGTTCTTTTGATATGCACTTGATTTTGAATAACGTTCTATAAAGTAAAAGTTACTAAAACAGTTTACAATTGACTTTGTATAGTTGTCTACCGTATTATTAGAGTATTTAGGAACTGTTCACTAAATCTGAAGAATTCATTGTACAGATATACATGTACATGTATCTAGATATTGTGTCAAGTTTAAATACCAATAGAGTCACACGTGCATGGAATTGAGCAGTGAGAGAGTATGGGTGTTGCCCATTCAGGGAAATCCCATTAGAGCAGCAGTTGTCATAAGATCTGTCAACGGTTGTCTTTGACATAAGCCACCCTGTTTCTCCGTCATGAATAAATGACATACATGTACCAGTACCGTTTCTGTATACTGCCCATAATCACATAGAGTCATTAGTCAGGTACTTGCATGATCCTTGTAAATGTCTTCATTGAGCGGCAGAGGAAGGAAAACCGACATCCATTGTGGACAAAATAATGCTTTTGACGCAAGTGTTTGTACACATCCACGTCATCATGCTTGTTAACAGAATGTCCTCAGGGGTTGTCCAAATATGGTTTGAAATGCTCGCTGCTCCAACCCATTGTTTCAACATTGTCTATGGCCAGCATGTTCCATGGGCGACACCTTTGTAGAATGGTCCATTATTTGCACCCTGCTGTTACATGAGCATGCATGAATTTCCAGCAGTGTCCAGCATTATACATTTTCTGGTGCAAAGAATGCACATTCAACCATACTTTTATACTGGTACAAATACTAATGTAGTTCAAATGTTGTTACACAAACCATGTTAGTTGTTACTTGATGCATCCGTGATGTACGTACCAAGATAAATGTGTACACAAAGCACATGTTGTCTTTTGAATACATTGTGCGTATATGTATATTTTGTGCCATGTACATGTACAGGACATGTTGTCCAAACATGGACTGCTTAGTGCATGTATTGTCATGACTGTGCATGAACATACCAGGTACATGTACTCCTACATGTACATTCAGGGCTTGTAACCATAAATAGATAGTGTAGGGCCCAGTGAGTCATTATCAAAACCCATATCCTTTGTCTCAGTCACAACACCAAATCCCTAATCCCAGCGTACACAGTTGCTTTGTTTGTCATGTTTGTGGGCCAGTGGTGGTACAGTACTATGGTACAGATGTTTTAAGGACCACAGTGGGCCTGTGATACCAGTTTACAATGTACATGTACATATACATTGTACATGTCCCTGCAGCATGGCAGCAGGTACCCTGTGTACACAGTGCATGTCTTATCTTTGTCGGAACAGCTGCTCACCTTTGTGAAATTTGTTTAACTGTTAGCAACACTCAAAAGTAGACAACATCTGAACTTTTTTTCAATCATCCTCGTGCACTTTTACTTCCTCAAAAGGGATGCCACCAGATCTTGTGGCCTTCACAAGTCTGCTTGATCACCCTTTGTGTCACATGTGTGCAGGCCATGTGTTACATGTTAACTGTGGACCAGTATAGTATAACCATGTACATGTACATAAACATGGATGCATACATGTTTTCATAACTCTGTCGTCAGTTCTTCCGTTCCACATGGCTATTTTGACCATAAAACAGGTTTCACTGAGAAAAGACAAAAAAATGTTGTCACCCTTCCATTATGAATATATTGTGGTGCCCACATTCCCGACATTGTATGGTGCCCACAGTCATGGCGTTTATGGTCCGAGTCCAGTCACAGATTATTATTTGACATGTGCCCTGCTTAAAAACACATGCCATGTGTCATGAATAGAGCTGTACTCTGGCCGTTGGAACTTGTTACCTGTGTAATGAATTAAATTGTTTATATTAGGAACCAGTTCAGAGTCATGGAACCGGATGCCTGTACATGTAAGTCATCACCAACTTTGTGCAGTACCTAGTAACTTTTCAGATAAAAATAGAGAAAGGTTTTGAGTGAAAATTTAAAATAAAACCGAGGCTACATGTACATGGAAGCTAAACCAGATGTCATGTGGACATTTAAGTTCAGAGGTTGATGAGCATGTTTCCAGGGATGGGACAGAGTAACCAATTGGAGTGCAGTTTCCAGAGATTATTTGATTTAGTTTGTATTCTGTCCCCTCCCCCTTAGAAGTATGGCGTTACCTGGTAGGTTTCTTTTTTGGGGGGCTTTGTTTTTTCAGTAGGGTACCAGGTCTGCAGACAACTGGTTCATGTACTCACGCACCCGCTGCTATGTACAGTGATACAGGTGCCCACTTTTGTTATTCATGCATTTTTTTATTTATGCTGTAAGAAGAATTAGAAATTAATCGTTAGTACCTCACTTTTTTGGTTTTTTTTTTAAAGTGAGGTTTGTAGAGATGTAACTTTGATATATCGACTACCTGGTACATGTACATGTATCTACAGAATGATAGAGGATTTTAATTAGGCTTACATGTTCATGTAACAGTATGTTTAGGATTGGCAGGGTGATACTTCATCCTTCACCTCTCTGTGGTCCAGGTTCAAATCCCACCCATGTCAATTGTGAATCAGGTTTTCCTACCTGAGTCCTAAGTCAATTACGGTAGTTCCCTGGAATGTCATTCACAGGCTTTCTTCCCACCTGTAAAACTGAAATTTCTTCGTGAAGCCCGTCTCTGTAGTTATATGTATCATGGGGCTCTGGGCTGCAATCCCTAGCAGTGTCAAGGAGCCCTTGGTTTCCTATCTAGAAATGGTCTTCCAACTTCCCTTTTATTTTCCACACACCTCAAAGGAGTCAAAGGTAAGTTAAAATCTATAAAGAAGTTGCCTTAGCAGGCTTGAAACGAGTCTAGACAGGAGCACAGGAGTTTGTGCTGTCATACATGTAAAAATTGTGGTATTCCCATTTTGTTTTGGTGGTGGGTGCATTTTCTGTAGTGAGTAGCTAACAGTGGCAAGGTCAGATTCTTTGTGAGTGACTAGCGGC